TAATAAAATTTTTAAGTTGGACTAACTTGTAAGGAAAAACTGCATAAATTTTTTGCACATAATTTTTATTTATTTTTTAAATGTCAAAAGGGAAGAATGCATAATTAAGGTGTTAGCTATACCTTAATTCAATCTTAAGAGAAAAGTTTAAAAAGTTCAAAACTCAAGTTATAATTAATAAATATTATATATAAAATAATATGCTATGTATCTCTTTCTAATCTTCCTTTCGATCATTGGCAATATCTCTCCAGTCTCTCTCTCAATCATCAACATCCACTCGCTGACATCCTCTCTCAGATTCACCAACATCACTCGATTCGAGATCCATGAGTACATTCATCGATTTTTAAGGTGTTTTGAAGATTGAACAATTAGAGAATCTACAAAGTAATCACTACTCACCCAAACAAATAACTTCAATTCTCACCTTTGAGATTTTGTCGCCATCCCCTCTTACAGTCATTGAGATCTACTCGATTCGAGATCCATGAGTACATTCATCGATTTTTAAGGTGTTTTGAAGATTGAACAATTAGAGAATCTACAAAGTAATCACTACTCACCCAAACAAATAACTTCAATTCTCACCTTTGAGATTTTGTCGCCATCCCCTCTTACAGTCATTGAGATCTACTCGATTCGAGATCCATGAGTACAATAACTAATTTTTAAGGTGTTTTGATGATTGAACAAAGAAAGAATCTACAGATTACTCGCTGGAGCAAATAACTTCAATTCTCATCGCCAAAATTTAGTTAATTGAATTTGTGACCAATTCGGAGAAATTAATGACATGTGACCAGTTCTTTTGAATTTGTGGCATGTAACTTATACACTTTGACTTGTGACCTATGACCTGAGAAATTAATGGTATGTGATCAATTCTCTTGAATTTGTGACCTATAACCCATACACTTTGACATGTAATATTTCACCTATGACTGTTACTTGTGATATTTTTTTAATATATTATTGAAAAACGAAAAATGGCCAAATGATGGTTCTACCTCCATTTTAATCTACACTTTGATCTAGATGGGTCAAATTTGGTCTAAAAACTAGCCCATTAACTCTCAGTGGAAGTGATAAGTCCTTTATTTTAGTAGTTATCACAAGCATGATGCATTTAGATGTATTATAGCTTGAGTAATGCTTCGTCTACGTAATCATGTAAACATGGGTTTACGTCCCACTCACATGAAGGAGGCCACATACAATAAATTATGCGGGGGCCTCCCTCCACGTGAGGGGACTATAAATTAGTGTATACACCTTGATGTGTATATGTAGCATTATCTTCATATTTTTACTTCGATTCTGTTGGTTCTTGAAAATTAATTTATGGTATAGATGTGTGTTAATCTATTAATTTGTCATCTAGATTTTTAATTAGGGATTTAGTTGTATAAAATGTAATAAATCTACAATTATTTGACATTATTAAAATTTTTATATATTTTCTTTAGGATGGTGGTGCACATGTTCTAGACGAAACAAGATAAGTTTTATAGAGCTTATATATAAAGCTTCTGTTAGAGAATTTGCGATAACCTTGACATAAAATTTGGGATTTGTTAGCTATAAATGGTCATACGAGAGAGATTTCATTAGAAAAGGGTCCTAAAAATAATTTCTCTAGATGTTTTTCTTCAAACTTTTATACTTGTTATTTATCAAATCTAGCGTATTCGAAAGATCTTGATAGAGTTCTTTTGTTTTTCACAAGTTATTTAAAAGAGGTTTACAAAATGAAAATCGATAAATGAATGAAGAATTTAGTGACTTGACACTTCACTTGGTACCAGGCTTAAAGAAAGAAGGACACTCATTTAGATTTTCTCATAGAGCATTCAAAATTTTAGAGTCGATCCGGATTATTATGAATAAAAAAATCTGGTATAGAAAAGAAACTGATCAAAAATGTATTTTTCAAAACATGGGCTCTATTATTTAAATCTGTGTAATGTGTTAATTGGTAAAAGCCATATTGGTAAGAAAGTGCAGGGAACAGGTTTTGAAAGGATAATAATATTGGTTGGGATACAAGACTGTAAAGTTGCACTAACTTGTAATTGTGCTCTTCTTGTTTGCATTCCACTAGTGTGTCCTAAAAACTCACCAAATTTGAGTCCTAGATTATCATTGCAATTTGATGTTCTTCATCACCTTTTCACTTTTGGATAAGCATTTTTCTTTATAATGCATTTGCACAAATCATAATAGGAAAATCTTGATTGTGCAGAAATATCTGATATTGCTTGCGAATTTGATCTTCAGTAGACCTATAAAATAACACACGTTTCAGATGGTGCTCGATCACTGTAGAGAAGATCTATTTAGATTAATTCTTGATTAAGAATGAACATAAGTTAAGAGAATACGAAAATATCTGATGATGCTTTGTCTAATGGAATTTTTCATTAAGAACAAGCACAAAACAATGCATGTCTTAAACGGTGCAGGGTTGCTTAATAAAGGCCCTCTGAAGATAATTGTTGATTATGAATGAGCATAATCTAACACATGTGCTGAAAGAATAAGTATGGAGGAGCTTATTTGGCATGTTTGAAACATTAGATTGAATTAAACTTAGATTAGACGATTAGTGTATTTAGTCACGTTCAATTCAATGTACCAAATATCTGATAAAGTTATAGCATACTAAACATCATGTCTTTCAACTTCAACATGCTTGGGAGAAAACAAAGCCAATGTGCAGATAAGAAATTTTTTTTTTGCGGGGGGGGTGTGGAGGCAAAGGCTTCTGCTAAATGGCCAAATGATGACTCTATCTCCACTGGTGTGTCCTAAAACTCGCCAAATTTGAGTCCTAGATTATCATTGCAATTTGATGTTCTTCATCACCTTTTCACTTTTGGATAAGCATTTTTCTTTATAATGCATTTGCACAAATCATAATAGGAAAATCTTGATTGTGCAGAAATATCTGATATTGCTTGCGAATTTGATCTTCAGTAGACCTATAAAATAACACACGTTTCAGATGGTGCTCGATCACTGTAGAGAAGATCTATTTAGATTAATTCTTGATTAAGAATGAACATAAGTTAAGAGAATACGAAAATATCTGATGATGCTTTGTCTAATGGAATTTTTCATTAAGAACAAGCACAAAACAATGCATGTCTTAAACGGTGCAGGGTTGCTTAATAAAGGCCCTCTGAAGATAATTGTTGATTATGAATGAGCATAATCTAACACATGTGCTGAAAGAATAAGTATGGAGGAGCTTATTTGGCATGTTTGAAACATTAGATTGAATTAAACTTAGATTAGACGATTAGTGTATTTAGTCACGTTCAATTCAATGTACCAAATATCTGATAAAGTTATAGCATACTAAACATCATGTCTTTCAACTTCAACATGCTTGGGAGAAAACAAAGCCAATGTGCAGATAAGAAATTTTTTTTTTGCGGGGGGGGTGTGGAGGCAAAGGCTTCTGCTAAATGGCCAAATGATGACTCTATCTCCACTGGTGTGTCCTAAAACTCGCCAAATTTGAGTCCTAGATTAACATTGCAATTTGATGTTCTTCATCACCTTTTCACTTTTGGATAAGCATTTTTCTTTATAATGCATTTGCACAAATCATAATAGGAAAATCTTGATTGTGCAGAAATATCTGATATTACTTGCGAATTTGATCTTCAGTAGACCTATAAAATAACACACGTTTCAAATGGTGCTCGATCACTGTAGAGAAGATCTATTTAGATTAATTCTTGATTAAGAATGAACATAAGTTAAGAGAATACGAAAATATCTGATGATGCTTTGTCTAATGGAATTTTTCATTAAGAACAAGCACAAAACAATGCATGTCTTAAACGGCACAAGGTTGCTTAATAAAGGCCCTCTGAAGATAATTGTTGATTATGAAAAATGAGCATAATCTAACACGTGTGTTGAAGGAATAAGTACGGAGGAACTTATTCGGCATGTTTGAACCGTTAGATTGAATTAAACTTTGATTAGACGATTAGTGTATTTGGTCACGTTCAATTCAATGTACCAAATATCTGATAAAGTTATAGCATACTAAACATCATGTCTTTCAACTTCAACATGCTTGGGAGAAAACAAAGCCAATGTGCAGATAAGAAATTAAGGGGAAAAAAGGCAGAGGCTTCAACTAAAAGAAAGGGAATGGACTGGCATTTTCCGGTAATTCAACAAGAACAAGCAAAGCTCAAGCGGAGGATTCCTATATTTGTGCTATATCAGAAAACACTTTCCTATTCATACTGCATGATTCAAAACCACAATTGGAAGACTAGATCACATCCCTAAATACCAAAATTCACAATAATAAAATAAATTTTGTTCTAATGTGGTTTCACTATTTTCTCTACTTTGTCCCATCACGACATCTATTAAACAATCCAGCGCTATCAGATCGTTCGTAACCACATCAAGTTGTGTTAATTCCAATCTCTCACTCTATCTTATAACATATTCTATTAGGATCGTGACTTTACACAATAACATAATTTCATTGCGGTGTTATTTTGTTTCGAATATTCCAATTAGACCTCATAATAATCATTACTATCAAAGCATATTCCTTCTTAGAATAACCAATAGTTGGCAATTGAGATAACCACTCCTCAACATTTGAAATCCAATACAAATAAATGTCCAGTTGATAGAAGAATCCTTATAAATAAGGCATTCAAGCATGGTTAACAAGTCAAACCATATATATTTTAGTTGATTGTAACTCTACAAAAGTAAGGTTTTACGTTTCCCTCCTTTAACTCGACTATCATATTAACATGGGTAGGGAGCAAAACCAAACCATCCAATCAATTTCAGATAAGTTGGCCTAAGGATACTCATTTTGTACTGCTTCTCCAAAAGGGAAAAGAAAAACAAATCCAGCTCATCTTGGTTTTCCAGTATGGAGATTGTGATTATTGAATCTTGTACAAAATAAATTAGGAGAACAAAGAGAAACCATAAGATAAAGGATATGCATTGATTAACATATTTGCATTATTATAAAATAATCTTCCGCGTGTATCGATACAAGAAATACGCGACACAAGCAAAATATACTAGGTCGAAAAGTTAGACAACCAAATACTTTATAAAAATTGAAAATACATAAATGAACTTTAAATTATTAGTAACAACAGTAACAAGATTACTAAGAGAACAGTTCAAACAGTATCAGGTCGAGGTGAACCACGACTGCCTTGGCTATGTAAAGATGGCTGAGAACTAGGAGTTTGCTTTATTTCTAGTCCTTTTCCACCAGATATAGTGTTTCTTTGGGTCCTCATTTCCTTCAGTCGAGGGCTGTATTCCCTTTGAGACAAAGGTGGGCTATAAACAGACTTCATTTCCTCGTGTGGCGATTGGGTGGAAATTGTTACTTTTGGGCTGCATGCTTGTCGAGGGCTGTATTCCCTTTGAGACAAAGGCGGGCTATAAACAGACTTCATTTCCTTGTGCGGCGATTGAGTGGAAATTGTTACTTTTGGGCTGCTTGCTTGTCGTATCTCACCACGACTTCTTGTCATGATCGCATCGAGAATCTCAACACTATCAATATTGGTGACTCGTGCCTGTGCGCTTTGATTCTGCAGATTTACAAAAAGTTTATAACATGAAAACACGACAAAAGTTCATTTAGATAGATCCCTATTGATGAAGTGCAGTTTCTTTTAACATATACATCGTACTTCCTGTTCATGGAGGGTAAGTCACTTTTCATGCACTTTTAGTTGGAGGTCAACACGAGCCCCCCGCCTAAGACTATATTAAGAGAAATTGATATCCTGCCCTCAGTGGACAAAAACCTCTCAATATTGGGGCAGGAGACCAGGTCCGCCGCATTAAGATTTATATTCACAATTAATCAAACATTCCATCTATTGTGGTTTTTCATATAAAATAATAGATCCTCTATGAATGAGCTGAGAAAAAATTTCAGAAAACAAATTAATATTGACTTACTTCGAAGGATAAGTTGTAATTTATAGCAGGGGCCTCTTCATACTCAGCAGCATCCAAGTCTTGTAAATGTGCTCCTTTGAAAAACTTGGGAAGTAAATACTGTCTCACTGGGACGAGAATCATAATCAACAATGGGAAAAGGACGCCAGCTATTGGAATCCATGTTATGCCAAAGCACAAAAGCAAGTATGTCGTTTGAAATATAGTGAAGAGGGCAATTGTTTTAAAAGGTACTGTCTCAACAAAGGTAGCGTGATAATCCTCTAACACCCTGAAAATATTCAAGAGTTGAAGATCTTCAGTTGTTTTAACAAATAGTAATAATAACAACGAAAGAAAAATAAGAGAGAACTAAGCAAAAAAGATTCTTCATTTACTCCAGATCAAATAAATCATGATTAGAGCATGTTTGGCAAAGATTTTTCAATCTTATAAGCTGGTCAAACATTATTTTTTACCATATATTCCTCAGGAACCACAACTTTTATCTACTTTTTAATCGCGTATTTCGTGGGCCCCACTTCTTATAAGCACTTAAAAGCTTATCCCGAGCAAGCACTTAACGCTTCAAAATAAGCAATGAACATAAACTGCCATTTCAGGATTTGGGGGTAGGATGATGTTTTCTGAGCTTAAACTAATTTGTTTAACATTAGGTGCATGTAGCATCTGATAAAAAACAGCCACCCCATTTTTTTCCCTTGCACACTTATAAATATCTGAGAACTGAAACAGTAAGAAAGTAGGTTAAAAAGCAACTTTCAGCCATGAATACGAGTAGAGACATACTTGTATCTTCGACTTGGAGCAGTAAAAAGCAATAATATTCGCTCCCAGAATTGATTTCCAGGCAAACTTTCAATTGCCATGAAAGCAAAGTACCCCCAGAGGACTGAAGTCGGAATTCTTTTTAAAAGAGGCATAGCAGCAACACAACTCCCAGCCATTAATGCCTGAAGCAGATTGCTGAGTCGTTGTTCTTTAACTTCCACAGGTAAAAGATCATCAATATCCTTATTGACATCAAAAATAGTCTCATCAACTGGCGCGTCCATGTATCCACTACTCGAGGCCCGTTGGACCGTGGAGTCTTTCAACTCTTTCAGCCCCTTATAAAAGCAATAAAATAAGATGCATGTGAGTTTACACAGACACAAGTAGCCAGTCAAAAAATGAAAATATTCGTGGGTTACCATGCTAGTCTTATAAAATCAGAAAATACCAGAGCTTGTGGACTTTGATAAACAAGAGGAGTCTGCATTTCGTTGTAAGCTTCTTGCATGCTCCTATACAACTGAGATAAATTTGCATTTTTCTGTATGCTGCTCCGAGCTGTCGATACAAGCTTATTTCGCAAAAGCTGTTGTTGAAGAAAGAAGAAAATAAATGATAATATCGTTTTTCATTAACCAATAATTAAAAGAAAAGGGTGGTCTAATTTGTGATCAACGCACATCATGCAAGGTAGGCTGTCATAAAATAAATAGTGCTGGTCGACTGGAAGAATGGCAACAGACAAGAATCATTGGGTGAAATACACACAGAAAAAAAATTAAAATTAATAATAATAATAATTTTTCTGAACACAATCACTCGCAGGACTGGTTTTTTTTTGTGTTGTGGAAGCAGTATGATAATCAAAAACTTGAAATCCAGCCTTCACGAATATTACCTGATGTTTAAGAGTCGCCAAACTTTTTGTATGCATGGGAGATTGTGGAATAACTCCATTGGACGGAGGGATGCCGATAAGACCACATAGTATGACCTGATCGGAACAGAAATCTATTAATAAAAGCTGCAGTAAGTAGTTATTAGCTTATTGTACTAAATATAAGTGTTAGAGTACACTCGATTCAGTGATTTATGCAAATTTACAACTGAATCAAATAAGTTACCAAGAATCCCAATAGAAGAAGGTCATAGTGATAAGAAGCAGGCTTCTTTAGATTGAATTCATTTTGCTGGGCAAGTTGAGATGCAACACTATGATCGAAATAGTAAAGGACAGCAATCATTGTTGCGGGAATAAAAGCTCCAATAATATATAGTAGAGGCACATTCAGCATTTCCTGTCAAGTTCATTTAGCACAATATTCAACATTTACACAAAATGTTAAAAGTAAAATGTAGAGAAGAAAAAGGAGAATGAGAAATCCCTTTTTGGACATTATGAGAATACGATGTAGTAACACCTTTACGACTGTCCAATTTGAGTATGCACCAGTAGACCATGGATTTGGGCTATATAGTCGCCTTGGTATCCCTTGTGGAACATCATTAGCCGGTATATAAGATACAGCAGTCCACACAAGCACCATGAGTGGGACACCGTAGTCAGCGATAAATCCCCGAAGCCATCCTTCAAATTACAATCAACAGTAGGGAAATTGAGCAAATACAAATGAAAATATGTAGAGTTCTAACGATGATAATATACGAGAATGTGAAAACTATGTAACCATATTATGAATTTGATAAATGAGAACTATTTCTCTTCTTCCTTTCATAATTGCCTTTTTCTTGTTCTAACTAGAGTTTCATGCGCGTGCCCATTAGTTGTGTGTGTTTTTGCATTTATGTTCATAGCACCTGTTCCATATCGCCAGGATCTAGCTTTACGGCTCTTCAGTGCAGTAAGAAGAAGGCCAAAGGACAGAACTAATGCAAACATTCCATTTCCAAAGCGCCAAGAAGGCTGAAATGCAGTCTCGTTCGGATTTTCTCTCTTTGGAATTCCAAACTCCTCCACAACTCCCTATCAAAGACTCAACTAATTTTAGAGTTTCTCAATATTTCAGACAGCTTGAAAAAAAAATAAAAAACCCTCATATAATTGGACGTAGAGAAATGGACAATTAATAGAAACTAATATTTAAACAAATGGGAAAGGGTATTAATTAAGACTCTCAAGTCATAAAGATAGCAAATGCAAAGCGATTATTCCTTGGACCTGGTGATTGATTAAGTAATTCATTTATAGCTAAAAGCCTTAAGAGCATAAAGGTTTCGAAAAAAATTTGGGAATTTGGTATCAAATATTTTAAGTGAACTGGTTCTACGGAAAAAAAAGTTAACAGAAGGAAAGGGAGTAAGATTTTTATTCATACTCACACGAATTGCCTGCTGCATAAAGAGCATTGCAATCAAAAGACCAAACAATTCACCAGCCAAGCGTGTAAATCGGTTGATAATAGAGCATGCACCCAAGATGGTCAGCAAGAAAAGCAAAAGGGCCGTCCATACGCACACCCTAAATATAAGTGTTAAATTCCACAATCAACATCAAATGCTTCCGTTCATGTTCCACGAGTGTAAAGAAATTACCATCCTGTCCAGGCTAAAAATAATTTCTCCCCCAAATCTTTTCGATCTTTAGCAAAATTGAACATGAATGTGTACATTAACACTGTTGGTTCAGCAACACCAAGTATGAGAAGTGGTTGTCCACCAATGATCGAGTGGATTACACCACAAAGTGCTGTTGATGCAAGTGTTTGCACAGCTGTCAAGGTTCCATCTGCAGTAGATGGATCAATTGTCAGCACATCTTAGAAAACATAATCTGAGAAGAGACACAAAAACGAGAAAAATTCAAAGCACAACACACAAACTCACTAGTATTTCTTTCCAGTTGCTCTCCAAAAGATATAACCGGAATTGCTGATGCAAAGAATATGTATGTTGTTGGAGCCAAGATCCTTCAAGACAATACAATGCTAGTAACTCATATACTCAACCGTGCTAGTAATATAAAGCAGAGCTAATATAATCTGCACCTTCATTGTTCATTTTCGATACCAAGACAATTTTTTGGAAGATACAGTGATAAAGAGCATTGAATTCAACAATTATCATAATTCTAGTTCTCCAAGCGAAGGATAAAATCATCTCGTATTATTTTCTTATTTGAGACAATCATAAACAAGAATATATAATTATATTTTAAGTATTGAGAAAATCACAAACCTGATACCTGCACGTAGTCCACCACTCCAGTCTTGTTTGTAGCATAGAAGTCTCCCTTTCAGATCATTTTTTATTCCACGAAAAGGAACAAAAGTCTCTTCCATGATAATCCCAAATATACCAAAACAGAGCAGTTCTTATTTTTACAGAGCAGTTCTTATTTTTTGAGTATTTAAAGAGGCACTAAATTGGGCATGAATTTGATGAGATTTGACGGGGCAACAATCCTATAACTAGATTTGCATAAGCAAAGACTATTCATGAACTAAGGAAGCATTGATTTTTTTTATATACTCATCATAAACTTTTGAAGAGGCGCTAGAAGAAAATCGTATCAAGAATTCAAGAACTTTACATTTTAACCGAATATAGAAAAAGCCCTTTAAAAAGAACAAAAGAATTGGTTAGCAATGAATCACAAACAGGGTAAGGATAGAATTCTCAACTGAATTCCACACAAAAATATACTTGGCTACTTAGATTCCATATGAGAAACTCTGTTAATTTTTTATGAAAGAGAATGTCATACTGAGCAAGAATCATAATCAACGAAATAGGGAGATTCTTGCCATTTGGAGAGATTGTAAACTAACAGCTGACTTCAATAAAGCTCGGTTCCATCAACTAACAAAATTCTCTCCTCAATAACTACTTATCACCAAATTGCGATCAAACCCGAACAAAATGCAAAACTAATGCCTTAAGATCATTTACATGGTCGAAATTTATGCAACAGAAGCTTTAGAAATTTCAAACCCCGCAAATTAAAAAACAAAAAACTTAGCGAGTACCCATTTATTTTCAGAAACTTATTTTCGCTGCTTTAGTACAAGTTCAAGAAATTGGGCATGGCAAAACAAGAAAAAAAAACAAGTAACCCGAAAAATTAGCGACAGCCCATAATTCGAAATGTGAAATGGAGTGATTTAAATCGGTTTTGAGTGAATGGGCATTAAGATTGTAGCTGTTTTGCAGTTACATTATATGCATAAAAAAGACAACTTTGACAAAAAGAGCTGGGAAAAATAGCACGAAATTGCAATGTACCCAGAAGAAACAAGAGAGAATTAAAGAAGGTTTTCCAATTACAAGTAATTCTTTTCTTTTCTTTTTTTTTCAGAGAGAACAAACTCTGCAGATAGTAGAGAATTGTCGTGATAGTGGTGTGGTGAGTAAGCATAACCCTTTTTGCTACCTCAAAAAAGAAACGAAAACACAATATTAATAATTGAAGACGGTAAAATGTGATAATTTTAAAATTTTGTACTCTACGGTCATGCTACAAAGAATATACATTATTTATTTATTATTATTATTATTATTATTTTTTGAATACCCAGGTATCCGCCTTACAATGACTAATTCTGGGGCCTACGATCCAGCTCCTCTTCACACAAACCACATAAATCGCGGGTTGTTCCCCAAACTGGCCAGGGCAAGAGCCCTCCCAACTGAACTGTCAAAGTGTCGAGCGAGTCAAACTCATGTATGCACCTTACCTTCCAGGAGAACTACTGCCTTTCAAGAAATATCTTGCCTTCCAAGAGAAAGCTTGCATTCCAAGAGCCCCATGGATCGAACCCGCGACCTCTAAACTGCCCGCCTTGAAGAATTCCTTCTTTTGCCAATTGAGATGTGGCCCAGGTGGCTACAAAGAATATACTTGCAGAAGGATAGAGGGAGAGGGAGAGGGAGAGGGGAGAGGAGGGTGAGGAAATTTTTTGACCTTCGGGTAGAAATTGTGTAAATACAATTTTTTTTCCTGGTTAATTTACAATTTCTAAAGGAAAATAAATTATTTTTGATAGGATCTCATGCTGTTTAGTAAATATAAAAATAATAATCAACATTCTCATATAGTGATATGTGACCATATGGAACATGTGGACATAATAGAAAAAAAGAGGGATAATGTATATCTCGCTTCTAGCACAATGCACATCATTGGGAGGCTTTTACGATTGACTACTACATTAACGGCAAGAGTGCATCCTTGGTAATTGTGTCATTATACTCAAGCTTTGAAAACTCTCATCCACATAAATAGGTCAACGTGATCAAGACGTTGACACCAACTCCTGAGAGCTTTTTTTGTAAAATTATATTTTCTTGCTTGATTAGATAATCGAAGATGTTAAAATGGAGTTGCTGAAATGTGCTTTCAGATGCTTTGATGACCTAACAGAAGGGGGATCGGAGAACTCTTCTTTCAATGTGAGAATTAGTATAATGTAGAGAGAAAAGTTATTAGAAGGCTTTAATATATTGGTAATAAATCTAAAAGAGAATACCTCATCCTTCAAGTATTATATACATGTGTTTACATCTATGACATATAGCACAAGAATCTTTAGAATCGTGTATTATATTTTACCGTATAATGTAGAGGGAAGCATGTCCTTAACCATTTTGAAAAATCCATAGTGAATTTCAGAGGTAGTTCGGAGTTGCAAAGTAGCTTTTCAATTGATAGCACAGTCTTCAAGGGTAAACACATGTTTTGTAAGTGATCTCATTTTATTAAGATCCCCTACATAATTTGAATCTAGATACTCAATGACTCTATATGTATTTCTACCAACATGCAAATAAATATTAGTAGAACCCTTCAAGTATCTAAATATCTATTGCACTGCTTTCCAATGTTCCATACCAGGGTTTGTCATGTACATACTAAATGCAATAACTACATATGTCAAATCTGGTCTTGTACAAATTATAGTATACAAAAGCGAATCAATTGCACTGGAATAAGGAACTCGAGATATATAATCAATGTCTTTATCTAATTGAGGACACAAATCAGATGATAAATTGAAGTGGGCAGCCAATGGAGTAGTAATAACCTTAGCATTCAGCATATTGAACCTTTGAATTACATTTTCAATATACACCTTCTAACTCAAATACAAATCTGTCAGCCTTCAAAATTTTCATACTAAGAATTTTCTTTCGTACACCCAAATCTTTCATTTCAAACTCCTCACTAAGTTGAGATTTCATCTTTCTGATCTCTGTTTTTTCCTTCGCTGCTTTGAACATATTGTCAACATATAATAATAAATATGTGATCGATCCGCTATCTTTGTTTTTGAAGTACACACAACTATCATAATTACTTCTAATGAAACTCTGAATAGTCCTGAATGAATCAAACATTTTATACCACTACATCGATGACTGCTTTAGTCTATACAATGACTTTTTCAACATGAAAGTTCCATTTCAGGGAAGGACCGGCGTTTTGATACCACCAGGAACAGGATTGGGAGAACATAGGATTGGTAGTTGGGCTCTGCTCTAGCCTTACCTTAAGCCAAAGTAGTCAGTAGTCATTGTTCCTTAGTGCGACCAGTTGCGAGTATTGGCTTTCGCTTTTTGTTGGTTTGAATCTATCTAGCAGCACGTTGCTAGAAAAAAGGTTTCTTCAAATTGGCGATATAAACAAGAATACTCATCCGAGCCGCAGGAACATGTACATACAGAATACGAGAATTTCCACCTTGTTGAAGATCTAGTGGTGCTACCTCCTCACTTGAGTTCTTTGCATTGGGCGCGCTCGCTTTGTTTGTTCATTGGAGGAAAGCGTTTATGGAGCTTCATGGATCAGCCCGCTGTCCTTCTGTCTCTGAGACAGATGACGATCCTGGTACTACATAATGAGAGAATCTTTGCACCAAACCCGTTGATGTATAGAGATGGGTGCGCTTCAATAGAAATGGATCCCGACCTAGAAGAGGGGACACCTCCTCATCTAAGATCTAAGGTAAATGCAAATCAAGAAGGCTTCTTTATATAAAGAAAGGCAGCAACAAGAACTATATCTGTCAAAGAAGAAGAGTCAAGAAGGAATGGAATGGAAACTATAGTCGAGAGGAAATAAGTCTCAGCGGGCACTAAAGGGGAAGCTTAGAGACGGAATTTTAATATAAGAATAGAGGAGTACGTGGGGAGTGACAAGGCGGTTGGGCAAGGTGCATCTAGAAAGGAAAAGCTATAAAACACTCTGGTTGTTGCATGTAAATATTATCCTCAAATTCTCTATACAAAAATGATGTTTTGATATCCATCTGTTCGAGCTCTAAATCATTCTTTGCCACTATTCCAAGTAAAGCCTGAATTAAACTATGTTTTACAATCGATGAGAACACATTTGTGAAGTCAACTCCTAGAATCTGATTATAGCTCTTTGCTACCATTCTGATCTTATACCTAGTATCCTCAACCCTAATATTCCTTCATTCATTTTGACACTCACTTGCAGCAAACAACCCTTTTATCCTTAAGCAATTTTACCAAGTCCCAAATACTGTTTTTATTCAACGACTCCATCTCCTCCTGTATAGCAATCAACCATGTGTTAGAATCACTACAACAAATTGCCTCTAAATATTTAGCAGGCTCCTCAGTGGAATCAATATCTTTAGTCATGCTCAATGTATAAGCTAATAAATCTGCTTCTCCATACTTCTGTGGAGGTCTAATCTATCTGTGAAGTCTATCCTTAGCAATTGAATACTATGGTGTTGGTGGTGTAGGGGAAATATTACTATCTGTCAATTATGGACTAAATTGACAGGTAGTAGAAGTCTCTGATTGTTCTCCTAGATTAATTTCCAAATCTACCTGATTTGAATGATGCTATTTCTCAATTTCATCAGAATCCCCACAAGGCGTACCTAGGTCTGGACAAACAAAAATCGAAAAACTGACCAAACCAATCAAATCGAACCGACTTGGGTATGTAGGATATAGGTAATTGGTTTGATTTTGTTTTCTTTTAAAAAACTATGGTGGGTCGATTCGGTCATGGTTTGAAATCTCAAACCATTACTAACATATTTACTTTTTTTTTTTTTTTCAATTTAAGAAAAAAAAAAGCCCTAATCTCATAACTTTATCTCGATTTCCTTCAATCTATGTTGTTGAAGGTAAGTAATAGTACTAAAATTTTCTTTCACAAGTTCATTATATTATATTTAACATTTTTTCCTACTCAGGCAGTCAGACTACATTATACATAAAAAAGTAACAAATTTTTTAGATTTTTCATTAATTCGTCTCTATTAACATGATTTCATTTTTTAGTCAATAATTCTTGTAATATAAAATTATTTAGTTATTTGAGTTCTTGTAATCTAAGTAGGCCAAAATTCGAACAATTTTTTTTAAAAAAATTCAATTTGGTATAACTGACTAATCGAACCGCCAAATCGATTTGATTTATTTTGGTTTGGTTTGGTTTAAAAGCTAGAGTGAGTTGGTCTGGGCATAAATTTGCTCAAACCGACTAATTTGATTTTAGTTTTAGATTAGAGTTAAAATCGACCCAAACCAAACTATTTTCGAGCCTAAATGTACCATGAACCACAGCAAGTTTGTCAAATATTACATCTCTACTAATCAACACCTTTCTTATCAGAGCACCACAATTTATACCCATTTCTAAATCTAGGCTCTAACTTCCCATTATCCATATGAGTACAAGTAGAATACCCAAATATTTTTAAATTAGAATAACAAGAAGGTTTGTCAGATTATATCTCTTTTGGTGTCTTTTTTTCAATGGCAATTGAAGATGAACGATTAATTAGAAAACAAGATGTAATAGTAGCTTCAGCCTAAAAAGTCTTAGACAATCTAGAATTTGAAAGCATACAACGAACCTTTTCTATCAAAGTTCTATTTCATCTATTCTACCACACCATTCTAGTGAAGAGTTCCAGGAACTATCAAATGTCTCAAGATGCTTTCAGCTCTGCAAAAGCTATTGAATTTATCTGAACAAATCTACAACCTATTATCTATACGTAGACGTTTCACTTGCTTTTCAGACTATTTTTTCATCAATGTTTTCGATTCTTTGAAGGTCCTAAACACATCATTCTTCTATTTTAAGAAGAATACCCAAATTTTCTCAGAGAAATCATAAATCATTGTCAACAAGTAATAAACACCTTCTTTTGAAGGCACCCTAATCAGTCTCCAAATATTTGAATGGATATATTCAAGTGTTCTTTTCGTGTTTTCTTCTTTTAGTGAATCTGACTTTTTTCTATTTCCCAAAGACACAATGCTCACAAAACTTTATCTTACTGGTCTTCTCTCCCCAAGAAATTCTCTTATATTTAACTCTGTCATGCCTATCTCACTCATATGCCAAAGTCGCATA